AAAAAAAAAAAAAAAGAAAAAAAATGGTATTTTCAGAGAAGTATTACTTAGAAGGCACTCTGTAAACATAAGCTTTTTATAAAATGCTTCATATTTCTTTGTCAACCTGAGTCTCAACCTAACCTTTTTAAGGATTACATATACCTTGATATGCTTAAAAAAAAACGTCAACACTATTTTGTTGCTGCTTAATAATAGGTTAGAGCTTTCAAGTAGAGTAACTTCCTTGAGAGCAAAGACATTTTCTATGTCACCCAGACAATTCTTAATACAGTTCATATATATGTTAAAATATACTAAACCATACCTGAAAATCATGAATGATGTGATGAACTGCATTAGAATCCAAAAGATTAACCTGTTCAAATTTTGGTCGTGCTCTTCTAAAACCACAGCCAACGGCATGCCAATTATTCTCCTGAAATTCTTTAAATACAGCTCTGCCAAGAAGCCCAGTGGCACCAGTAACCAGAACCCGCCTATTGGGGATGTTAACTTCTTCCTAAAATGTGAAGGGGAAAAAAGGGATTATTTACTTTGAAAATCATTCTCTCAAAGAAATTAGTCACCATCATTGTTCAGTAAATACCTCAAGTACTTTATGTGTCATATCTATCTACAAGCCAAGTCCAAAGTCAGAACAAAGATTAATCAAACTATTACTATATCAACAGCTGTATCACGTTTTAATCTTTTTTTAAAGTTTTAATAATCTCATCCAAGAAAAAGAACACAAGATGACACTGCAAAGAATTATCTAGTTAGATTTACATTTCCTAATGAAAGAAAATCTTATTTTTATCATTGACGATGCCCAAATGAGTAATAAATAAGGATTACATATACCTTGAATTTAATTAAAGCAACTTTAGTTATATTCTTCAGTTTATAAAAGTGTACAATTTGTTTTGCTCCTACACAGATGACCAAAGGTGCTCTTTCAGTCTCTAGAGAGAACTGTTTTAAGCTTGTTTTATAGCCCAACTGAGCATTTGGTTCTATCTGCCTATACAGTCACAAGTTGACATTTCTGGTCTTCAGTTTTTAATCCCAAATTTTCTTTCAAATCTCAATGATTTATCATATTTTGATGAGTCTGAGTTAGAGAATTAGTCAACATTTCAGAGGAATTTATCAGGAGGAAAATAAATTTGGTTCTTTTGACATTAATATATTTTCTAAGTTTAATGAAATTGGTAAATGTTCCTGAGTTAACTCTAAATTTACCTATATAAACTGAAATTAATAAACAGAGGGTAAGAAAAAATATTTTAAACTGATCTGTTTCTACTGTAAAAAGGAAAACATTCCTTATGCACAGAAATTAAAAAGAACCACTATTTAGGAAAGAACTTAAATGCTATGTTTCCAAGGCATAGTTTCAAAAATTTCTCTTCTTCTCAAAATGGGCAACACCAATTTTCTTCTTAGACTCTTAAATAAAGACTGTTTTTTTAAAAAGTTAAATTTTAATCAACTTGAGGCCTCTTTATGTCAAAAGTTGTTACAGGCACCTAATTCTGAGCTGTCTAAAACCTTAAAAATATATGCAATAACCAAAGACAGACTACAAAATTTTTTAAAAAGATACCAAAATTAGGTATTGCTAGCACATGCAAAACTCAAAATGAAAAGGCTAACAGAAAGACAATATAAAAGGTAAATTCTTAAGGATTATTTTTTCTTGTTTGACTAATTTCAAGAATTTTAAAAGTTAAAAGAAATTTCAATTTTCATGCAGAGGTAACATCATTCTATAGTGTATTTCCTCAAATAAACACAGTATATATTCATTATTTTAAAAAAAGAAATTTCATCCAGGTTCTCTGTAGCAAAACTTGGCTCTAAGCCAATTAATCTATGAAAACAAGGATTCTGACCAGCAAAATATTTTCTTTCAATTTTGGCAAGAAAACAGCTCTACAAAGACTGAACTGCAAAGAGGAAAAAACATGCCAAGTCTAGTAGAGATACAATCAGAAAACAATTTACACAGGATAAATACTATAAAGATTCCTGGGAAGATACTATAAAAGATGTATGATTTGGTTTCTTTCGAATTTCTCAGTTTTTACTTTACTCTATAGAAGCAAACAGGTAACAGTTCTTAGGTCTGTGGTTCTCAGGGTTCAGTGTGGATCAAAATCACTTAGAGGGCTTTCAGATTCAGTAAGTCTGGGGTGGGACCTGCTAACTTTTAGTCCTAACACGTTCTCAGGTGATGCTCATTATGGTAATTTGGAGACTGCAGTTTGAAAAGCCCTATAATCTTGAACTCCAGGAGCATTGGAGGCTTTCATAAAGGTCTCTATCTCTAATTTAAACAAATCAAAAAAGTGCCATCTACCTTTCTAGAAGGGACAACTGTATTTTTTTTTTTTTTTTTTGAGACAGAGTCTTCCTCTGTCATGTAGCCGAGGCTGGAGTGCAGTGGCCTCATCATAGCTCACTACAACCTTGAACTTCTGGTCTCAAGTGATCTTCCCACCTCAGCCTCCTCAGTAGCTGGGATTAAAGGCATATAATCCATGACACTCACTAAATTTATTATTTTTATTTTTGATAGAGACAGGGTCTCACTATATTGCCCAGGCTGTTCTCGAATTCTAAGCAGTTAAACGATCCTCCCACCTGGGCCTTCCAAAATGCTAGGATTACAGGCCTGAGCCACCACACCTGGCCACAACAGTATCTTTCCTTCTTAAAATTGAAAACTAGAAGTCAAAGTATTATGTAATCCACAAAAGTTACTAAACAGTGAATTAAGATCTCTGCATACTTTCATTCTGTGAAGCACATTTTTTCCTCATTTTAATATTTGTTACATGAATGAAAAAGATATGCATCTTATTAACGTGTCATAGTTTGGCAGTACTTTCTGTTATCTCAATTGCATCTTAAAATAAGAGCCCAAATGATCTTATAATCAAGAGCACCTTAGAGAAGATAAACTACAGTATTAAGTTTCAAGGTGAACAAAGCTCTTGAGGTAATATAATACACTTAAAAAAAAGAATTGAGGTTGCATGGAGAAAATGCAACTTTATCTTTAAACCCTGGGGTACTTACTATGTAAGGCCCCTAGAAGAAAATATGAAACTCTACACGGTACCTAGCGGTCAGATGTAAATACTCAAGAGTCTTCATTAGAAGAGTGGGGAACTTCCTATTTCAAAACTATTATGTTATATAAACATACATCATACACCTTTTAACCATAAGAACACCCTTATTAGGGAAGACATTATTCCCAAAGGAATCTGAAGTCTAGAGATGTCAGTTTTGTCCACTGTAAAAGGGAAACAGCTGGGACCAGAACTTGAGTCTTCTTAAGTGGTCAAGTCAAATCTAGTGGATTTTGTCTCAATCCTCCGAACTTATATTTGGTTTCATGAATGATTAAAGTTTTATACACTGCCACAAACCGTGGTAATGAGAAATTATTACAACTCTATTGATCCAACTCCTCATTGGTAAAAATGAGGTATCTGGACAAAATGACTAAGGCTCCTTCAACTTCAAAGTTCCACATTTCTAACATTTTCCATATTATTCTTACCACAAAAAGTCTAAATACAGAGTGAGCTTCGTTTACTTAAATAAGGTAACTTTTCGCATCACTCTGAAATTAAAAGATGCCAAACAAATCTATTTTTGAGTTTTTATATGAACAGTACTCTAATTGAAGCTTTTTAAAGTGTACACTGTTTTGTTGGATTTTGCTTGTTGGGGAAAAGAAGTATTCCTCTAAAAATTACCTTGGACTTTTTGACTCCATAAATTATTTCTAAAGCCTTCAAGGAACTCAGAATGAAAGAATACAAAGCTGTCTAGTTCACCCAAACCACAATAAAGACTTGAAAATATTGTTTGTCTGAAAAGTCTACTTTCTCAATTTTTATTATGTAAGTAAATCAAGTATCAACTTAAGCTACTCTACATACATCTCTGCCTCTTACTGTATAAACTCTTAGATATATGGAATTCAACCACTTCAGGTGATCAGATTTATAGACACCAAAAAAAGTCTTGAAAGATTAAATACATACAAATGTAGATCTACTACATTTATTATGTTCTTAATTATGCTATCTAATCAAATGATTCTGAATTAGACAGGTAATGCAAGATAAATGGCTCTTTTCAAATTACCTAACACAGTACTCGGGGACAGTGATTTCTACTTTATTAACTTCTACTAAAAATGTACTAGAAAAGAATGAAATATCACTAATAAATAGTGATCATCTTAAATTTTAGTGATAAATATACCTTTTATTCTTAGAAACTTTTAAATTTGGCAAAGTTTCACACTTATTTTTTAATCCCCCTTGAGGTAGATCTTTGAGTAGACACTCCTGGACTTTAATGAAACTTTCTAAGGTCCCCTGACTACTTAGGTGGCATTGGTCTAACTACTGTCACCCTATTGTACCCCACAGATAGTATTAACAGGAATCACTACAGGCTGCTTCTCTAACCTTAACTATAAGACAGATCTCATTCTCATGAATCAGTTTTAACTCTACAGGTTGACAGTGCAACAAGTATGTTGCCAAGCTCTTAGCTGTTCCATTTTTAATGAAACAAAACATGAAAAGCCATTCTCATTTCTTTACTGAACCCCTGTGAAAATAGATCAACCTTTATACAGACACATACATGCATATTCATAAACAACACGTAACATACACTCAGCACTGTTTGGGGGCACATAGAACAACACAGAGGTTTAACTAGACCCTGAAAGACCCAAAGTGGTCTGAAAACACTAAATACATTTTGGAAGCATAAAAACTTTGCATTATCAAAAACAGCCATCTCCTCCTATATGTCTTAGCTCCATGGACATACTAGCCTAGGCACTAACAATCCTATCCCCAGCGCTGGATATATAACATGTTGTGTATGGATGACCGCTGGGACCTTTGAAATGGAATGGAGGAGAGGCTGGGGGGATACCAGAAATAGTCTTCCTTCATGCAAACTTCACAGCGGTTCAAAGCCCGAGAAACAGATTTATAATTGAATTCCTGCACCAATTTTACTGAATGAAGTTGGGCCAATTTCTCTCCCTCTATACCTTAGTTTTCTCATCTGTAAAATGAGGCAATAACAGTATCTCATAGTTACGATTAAAGTAATGCCTGTGAAGTGCGTAACACTGGCCCTTGCACAAGCTAAGCGTTCATTAACTCGTCATCTCCAATACTGCTATTTCTGAAAAGCCACCTTTCCCCGCCTTTCTTGAAGCTATGAACTTGTAAGATCGAGGACTATGACCCAAAGATGAAGAAATGAAGACTCAAAACCGAAACTACTCTGAAAAAGCCCTCTATCCCCTCTATCCCCAGCAGCTGAGACAGAGAACGCAAAAGTAAAATCTCCACATACTTGCTTCCGGCCGCAGTGGTAGGAAAACAAATCACTGATGGGTGTGCGCCGAGATAAACTCCGTGGCACCGCCCTGGGCTCTGAAGCTGGGGAGGTGGCGCTCAGAGGACTCCCTGCCCGAGGCTCGGACTCAGGCGGGATGCTCATGGAAAGCCCCCCTCCATCCTCGCCGAGATGTTTGGTCTCCCCAGCGCCCTAAATTCCCACCAGAGACCCCCCCCCCCAAGCCGACTCCCTCACCTCCACTAGCTCACAGCTTCCGGGAACAAAGTGGATAGAGAGCTCTTTCTGCCGCCCCACCATGCCCGCCGTCTCCGCGCCGCCGCCAGAGCGGCCGCAAACACGATCGCCACGGCCTCAGCTCAATAGCCCTGGGCCCGCCTCTTCTAGGCCCAGGTCGACCCCGCACCCCGCTTCCGGCTTCCGCCGCCATGGCCGCACCGTTGATTGGCCACGCTCCGCCGACCCCCCAAGAAGGAGGCGGGCGCACGCGGGATGCTCCCAGCCCACGCGCCAACTCTTAAAGTGGTACGCAAAACAAAGGCCCGGACCTTAAGCAAAGAATTGAAGTTTGGTTTTGGAGATTTTATCTGTGTACTTTTTCTTCTGATTTTTTTCTTTTTTCTTAACCGAGGAGGGATTGAATTGGATCGCCTAGAGTTTCAAGTCTGCACAGTGCATCATAGAATGAACTGGGCATGTACTATATAAAATAGAATAAAACATTTTAAAGTCATGGGCGGTGAGGGGGAGAAAGGAGCACAGAGAACATATCTCTAGAGCATTAGGTGTGGGTTTTGAAAGATATAGAAAAAGACGAGATATAAATAAGTGTTGGCAGCTGAGCCATTTGTCTTCCAGGGATGCTGAAAAATAGTATGTGTGAAATTTCAAAAATGCGAAACTATTTTTAACTAAAAAGGTGTGGGGGAGAGGAAGATGAACTATTTGGGTACTTCTTCAAAACGCAGGTTCTTTGACTTTACCCACACTATCAGAATGGGAAACTGGTGGCAGAGCCCGGGACTTTACTGTTTAGTGGAGTTAACAAGGGTCAGGACCACACTTGGAGAAGCTCCGCCAGCGGGGCTGCAGCTTTGAACTCTGGGTGCCCAGGCTTCGTAAGAACCGAAAATTAAAGAACCAAACCAGAGTGTAATGCTGGACGTTCTACCACCTGAATTGCCTTTAAAATGTAAATCAGAAACAAGAGCCCTAAGTGTTGAGGCCCACCTAGCGCCAACTGATTTTCCTTCCACTTCAAAACGCAGGGTCCTCCAGGCAGAACAGGACGCCTGGGGAAATTTACCCAGAAGCTAACCCCAGCACAGGCAGTGAAGGAGTCGCGGATTTCTCTCCGAACAGCCCGTGTTCTTGTCCAGACACCCAGGACATCGAGCTCTAAACGTCGCTGGCAAACGTCACCACTGCTTGGATTTTCGTAAGGCCTTATTTTCATAACCCTTTTTAGTTTAATTTAAAGCCAAAGGCCAAGCAGCCTTTTAAACAAGTTTTTCTTAAATCAGAGGCCCGTGACTTTCCTTCCTCCCCAACTCCCAACAAAACTCATTTTCTTATTCATGTAAACATAAAGTTTCCTTGGAACAGTAACTGCCCGAAGTCGCTCACTTTTTGATTTTGTTGTTTTTTTGGTTTTAATCCAGGCTGTTACTGTTCACCAGTCTAGCGTTATTTAGGGAATCCTTGAAAGGACTGTCCTAGTAATCTGGGGACAACAAAGAAAGGGTGGGGGGAGGGGCCAGATCCAAGATCCTCTCCGTAAGTCTCCCTTAAAAACTAGGAATTTTTTTTTTTAAAGTTTCTTGTTGCAAGGTTTGTTGTAATCTAATCCTGGGCGGGAGGACGCCGGGGGCTGGGGGGTGAGCAGTGTTCTCCACGAAGATTTAAGTAAATACAGGCATATGCAATTAGCATTTTGATTCTCAGAGCAGCTTTACAAAAAGTTTAACTTGACTACACTTGAGAATCTGATTTGCTACTTGCCCTGTGAAAGCTGGGTATAGGTGTAGGGGCAGATGTTTAAGTATGGTTTTTAATCGTTTTCTTTAATGATGATAGAGTCTATGTGAATCAAACGCCATTCTTATACAGACAATACCCAACTTCGTGTGGTGGCTAAGTCTGTACATTTAAAGAGAGAGCAGCAACTAAAAAGTTATGTTAGAAGATTCAATTCATACAAAGTCTGGAACATACGAGAGATAAATTCCATATTTATATAGAACCTTCACATACATCACTACATTTAATCCGGTAAATGAAACTGCTGTTCTGTTTTGCATTTTATTTTTGCCAGTTAATGAGACTTAGCTGAGCTCTCCATAACCTGGTTCCCTAGGTCAATAACTAAACTTGGTTTATTCGTCTATGTCCCTAGGGTATGTTTTAAGGAAATGAATGACACCCGTTTCTATTTTCTATACACCCATTCTGCTTTTACCAGGCATTCACTGGAATGCTTTAAAAGCAACTCCTACTCTAGAATGCTTCATTTCTTGAATTGCTAGCTCTTACCTGTTCCATGTCTTCCGGCATTTCAGGCATGATTCCAAAATTATTTCAGGAATACAGATACAGAAGGAGTCTCAGCCTCTACCTTCTCTTGCCGGGTCTTTGTTTGCTTCTGCCTGCAGGGAGCGCAGGCACGCCAAAATGTGAGGCGCAGCTTCACTTGACCTTTTAAATTAGCATTCTGATTCCAATCCCGGAATCTCGTGCAGTTTTCCACATGGCAGTAAACTGGCAGCTGATTCCCCGTAGTAGTCTCGAAAATACCCAATGAGAAGTTTCATGTTTAATTGTCAACCAAGCCAGGGTACATTAGCAAAACCATTTGGTAGAATGAACTATTAAAAAAAAAAGCCCAACAACTTCGTGTCAAGACTTGTTGCAATTTTTTTTGCAGGAGAAAAGCACGTGGATCCTGCAATCGATTCCCGTCCTGAAGGGAACAGTTTTTATAATTTCATTCAGTTACGCCTTATTGCTACAGAATATGCTTAGTAAAATTCTCCAGTGTTCCCCCAAGTGCTTTTTTCCTTTTATTATTGTTATTATTTTTACTGGAAATCTTCTTATCTTCTAACCCCTACTCCCCTCCCTGGCAAGTGCTTTTTAATTATTACAAAGGGCAGTAAAAGGCACTGTGGTAGCAGCACACAGAAATTAAAATGCAACAGGTCATTTTCATTAACCCCATCCCCCACTCTGACTGAGGGAACAGTAGGTAGAGTAGCCTTAAAGGATTAAGGGCGTCTAGATGAGTGAAGCCTGCGTGCACCACAGAATAGACAGAATGAAGTTATTTTCTAGGAGTGAAGCCCAGTAATATTTCTAAGTTTCAAGAGTGATGAATGTGCTCAGTTAAGGTTTGAACACCTGTACCAATTTAAGAACAACAAAAATTGCCATTCCAATTGAGCCATTCTCAGCGATAAGAAAGAATGAAATAATATTTTTGGAGCAACTTGGGTGCAAATGGAGGATTTTTTTTTTTTTTTTGAGACAGTCTCTCTGTTGCCCTGGCTAGAGTGCTGGGAGATTTCAAGCCTAGCTCACAGCAACCTCAAACTCCTGGGCTCAAGTGATCCTCCTGCCTCAGCCTCCCAAGTAGCTGGGACTACAGCCACTCGCAACCACGACCGGCTAATTTTTTGTTTCTATTTTTAGTTGGCCAGCTAATTTTTTCTATTTTTAGCAGAGATGCGGGTCTCTCTATTGCTCAGGGTGGTCTCAAACTCCTGCCCTCAAGCGATCCTCGGCCTCCCAGAGTGCTAGGATTACAGGACTAAGCCACTTCTCCTGGCCTGGAGGCCATCACGCCATTATTGTTAGGGTGGTGAGCTAGTGTAGAGCTGGTGCACTCGGGTTTGAGAAAAATTTTTCCAAAGATGAGGGTAGAAGGAAGAAATTTATTTTACTTTCCCAAAAGTGGGAAAGGGCCGAACACGAGAAAGAAAATGGAAAAGTGTGTTGGCCTAGAAAACCGGCTACTAGGACCTTTTATTTGGAAATGTAAAAAAAAAAAGGATGAAAGATGATTTATGGTTGTAGTCAAACGGGTGTTGTGAATTGCCATATCTGCTCCTTCTATTCCTCTTAACCGCAAGCAGATAATAGAATGGCTGTGTGATGCTGAGACTGATGTTGTGTCTTCTTTGCCAGGGGAAGAGGCTTCCCCACTCCCAGTGACAGTGCCCTCCAACCCTGTCTGGGAGGATTAAGGCTGTATTACCTGAGGAAATAGTAAAATGGCCTCCCTTGAGGCAGTTGCCATGGCTCTGTCCTGTAACTATGCAAGACAATGCTGATTCTCCTCAGGACCCACCCACCACCTCTTTGCTTCTAGACATATAACTAGACTGAAGTCTCAGCAGGCCCTTAAGGGTGAGGAACAAACTGTTAGCCATGAAGAGAGATGCTATATGCTATACTCCAAAAGAATTACTTAAATTTTCTAATTTATACATAAATCTGGGAATATGTGGGGATGTACACTAAAGATGTGGGATAATGATGGAAGAAATAAAGTTGGATCAGGCCAAATTTATTGATATGGACTCACTAAGCAGAGATTCTTTATGTAATGTTGCAGTTTAGGGAGTTAGAAAGGACACTCAGTTTCCTTGGTTGACTGAAACATGGAAAAGATGGCCTCCATTGAGTGAACTGGAAATGTTGGACTTGCCTTGGTTTAATGGAGAGGATGGGATTAAAATATTAGAATGTGAGAGTGGATTCGTCACTTAAGAATTACCCACACTGGGAGGGTGGGGAAGTCATACCTTCTGAGAAAAAAATCTGTGAGGAGAGCCCCAGCATCCTTTTCCAAACTCTATGATTGTTCTTTGAAGGCCAGAACTTACAGTAGGAATTGCAGTCCCTGAAGTAGGAAACCTAAATGCATTGGGAGCATTGACTCCCAGAGTAGCAGGGGCCACGGGATGGGACTCAACTGCCAAGGCAAGGTGGCGTGGTTATCATAATGAATGGCAGAGCCAAAAGAACCATCAGAATAGTCTACCTTGCACAGACCTCTTGCTTTGGCAAGTTCATGGTTTCCCTAGAAGTGAAAGAGATATGGAACCTGCTAAATTCTTTCTTGATCTGTATAAGCAGAAAAGTTCTAGGTCAAGTGAACAAAAGTCTAACTTGAGTCATGAAAACAGAATTATGGTCCCTCAATTCCCAGACTGAGCCACTTTACAGACTCCCAAACCCTTTAAATGAAGGGGAGGCTGGGTTTCCTTGAGGAAGGACCCTGGTACACTACTGAAAATTTATACTGTTAGCCTTTGTCCCCGCCTTTCTCAAAGGGACATACAGCCTTTTACCAGGGTAACTGTACATTGGGGAAAAGGCAATAATCCGACTGTTTGTGGACTAGTGGAACTGGCTCTGAACTGACACTAGTTCCAGGAGATCCAAAATGTCACTGTGGCCTACCAGTCAGAGTAGAGGCTTATATAGGTCAGGTGATCGAGAATTTTATCTGAAGTCCATCTCACAGTGGGCCCAGTGGATTCCTAAACCCATTCTGTGGCTATTCCCCAGTTCTAAGAATGCATAATTGAAATAGACATACTCAGCAATGTGGGAGAATCCCCACATTGGTTCCCTCACCTGTGGAGTGAGGACTCTTATGGTGGGAATGGCTAGGTGGAAGCCACTGGAACTGCCTGTACCTAGGAAAATTGTAAACCAAAAGTAATACTGAATTCCTAGAGGAACTGAAGATTAGTGCCACCATGGATCTTGGAAAATGACAGTGGATTATCATAAGCTTAACCAAGTGGTGACTTCACTTGCAGCTGCTGTACCAGATTGTGGTTTCATTGCTTGAGCAAATTAACACAGCCCTGGTACCTGGTATGCAGCTATTGATCTATCAAATGCCTTTTTCTCCATCCTTGTCTAGAAGGCCAACCAGAAGCAGTTTGCTTTTAGCTGGCAAGGACATCTTCCCTGTCCTACCTCAGGGGTATATCAACTCTCCAGCTCTGTCATAATTTTGTTCACGGGGATCTTGAATGCCCTTTCCTTCCATAAGGTGCCACACTGGTCCATTACATTGATGCCATTATGCTCACTGACGTTATGAGTGAGAGGTAGCAATTACTTTAGACTTATTGGTAAGATATTTGCATGCCAGAGGGCAGGAAATAAATCCAACAAAAATTTAAGGGCCAACTACATCAGTAAAACTTCTAGGGGTCTGGTGGTGTTGGGGAATGTCAAGATATCCCTTCTAAGGTAAGTTGTTGCATCTGCCCCCCTCCTACAACCAAAAAAGGGGCACAATACCTAAAGGGCTTCTTTGGATTTTGGAGAAAACATATTCCTCGTTTGGGTGTATTACTCTGGCCCATTTACTGAGTGACCCGAAAAGCTGCTAGTTTTGTTTGGGGCTCAGGATAAAGGGCTCTGCAACAGGTCCAGGCTGTTGTGCAAGCTGCACTGCTGCTTGGGGCCATTACTGCCTTGCAGATCAAATGATATTTGAAGTGTCTGTGTCAGATAGAAATGCTGTTTGGAGCCTTTGGCAGACCCCCTATAGGCAAATCTCAGGGCCACCCATTGGGATTTTGGAGCAAAGCCCTATCTATCATCCTCTTCATCCTCTGCAGATAACTACTTTTTTTTTTTTCCTCCCCCTTTCGATACAGAGTCTCGCTCTGTCACCCAGACCGGAGTCCAGTGGTGGGATCATAGCTTACTATAACCTCAAACTCCTGGGCTCAAGCAATCCTCCTGCCTCAGCCTCCTGTGTAGCTGGGACTACAGGCATGCGCCACCATGCCTGATTTTTTATTTTTTGTAGAGGTGGTCTTGCTTTGTTGCCTAGGCTGGTCTTGGAACTCCTGGACTCGAGTGATCTTTCCCAAAGTGCTGGTATTATAAGCAGGTGCCACCACGCATAGCCATCTACTTTCCCTTTGAGAAACAGCTCTTGGGCTGCTACTGGGCCTTAGTGGAGACTGAATGCTTAAGAGTGGGCCACCAAGTTACCATGTGACCTGAGCTGCCCATCATGAACTGGGTGGGTGTTTATCTGACCCACCAAGCCATCAAGTGGGGCATGCACAGCAGCACTGCATCATTACATTACAGTGGTAGAAGCGGAAGCTTTGAATTATTTTATTTTATTGGACAATTCTTAAAATATCAATATTTCAACTTACACATCTTAAATAGAAACATTAATGTAATTTCATGAAGTACAAATTGAATACTTGGAATTCTTTCATCTACCTAAGGGTAGGCAGTCAAAGTTAAATACAATATAAAATACCCATTACAAAATAATGTCAACAATAAGAATGAAATAATTTCAACAGGTTTCTCAGGTACTTCCTTTCATGATTCTTGACACTTCACAGTTCAGTAGCAGTTTGTATTGCCTGAAAGGATTATGGAAAAGTAGTATTAGTATTCTAAATTAAAACTAATTCATCAATCATTATATTAATAAACTAAGAACAGGCAGCCTATATTCTCTAAGGCAGATGAAGCAATGCTTACATTCTGCAGCATAATTTTTATATTCCTTTATTCACTATTTCAATCAATTTTGATTTAGTGTGATTAAGGACCTAAGAGACATTTAGGTTAAAATGCTAAAGGTATTATACGGGGAATAATTTGGTGTGTGGGTCAAACAAGGCTTCAAGGAAAATGTAGTTTGAACTGGGCTTAAAGGACTGGCAGGATCTGGATATATAGAAAAGAGTATAGAAGAAGGGGAAAAAAGGCATTGCATACAATGATCTCAGTAAGAACTTCTTTTATATCAGAAGGTGTCGTCAAATTTTCACAGTTTGTAAAAATGAGTAATTTACTAAATGCTATGAAAGCAAATCCAGAGGAAGATGACACTTTTTTTTCATTCCTTACCTTCTTTTAATGGGGTTTTGAGGGCAAAATTTTCTTTACTTTCATGATGAAAAGCCTTTGAAGGATCAAAGCGTTTGATACCCAGAACTTGATTCAATTCCTCCTTAAGTTTTGTCTCACTTTGTTTCTTTTTAGCAAGCTGGGAGCGGAGTTTTGACACCTCCTATGTGAGAAAAATAGATAATTATTAACGATTATGTCAGTGAAACATGTTATCAATGTTGCCGGCAAATTCCAACTTCCTTATGTATCAAACCTAAATGGCAAAAATCACTAATAGATACAGACTTTAAGACTGAATTACAAAATGACTTTAAATAGCTGTGACAAAGGAGATAAAGTCTTTTAAATCTTCTTGCCCCTCTACAGCTACAAAACTATTTTTCTGATAAAAGTTTGACTTAAAATTAATTGTAGGGATCAACTTCTGGCATGACAGCAGGAAAGCTCTGCTGACCTCCCGAGTGAAACTAAAAATTACAAAAGGGTAACCAGTTCAAGCCTCTGAAAATGGTCCTGAGGGTAAAATAGCAAATGAAGTGTCTATTCAAGGAAATCTACAAAAATTTGGTAAGAAAGATGAGATTGTGGCATTTGAACCAAACTGCTCCTTCCATCCCACTCCCATCTTAGACAGGCAGAGACCCTGCCCCAGACAGCTATAGCCGAGAACATGTGGCTCCCTCTTCCAACTCCCAGTCAGAGGCTTTTCTTCCCATGGGGAGCAGGACATCAGTGTTTCTCATCAATGCCACCAGCTCCCTGTTGCTGAGGTTATGTTCTGGACAAATGCAGTTCAGCAGGGCGAATCCCTTCCTCCGCTCAGCTTCACTTACGGGACAGAAGCTCTGTCTTGAGCATGTTGTGCTAAAAATGCTGAAACTCTGATCACCGTTGTTCTGCCTCATGAGGCAGTGGTTCTGTACCAAAAGAAGCCAAGAGAACCTGAGGCTATCCCTCAGCCCCCTTCCCCACAAGTCCACTGAGAACTCAGCTACTAGGGCAGAGATACCAGAGAGAAGCATGTCACTGTCCCCCATTTCCAGCTCCAGCGTCCTGGCTCAGAGATTTTGTCTGGGGGGAAAAGCAGGTCATGAGAGAGAGAGAGAGTGCCTAATTTCTTCCCAAAGGAACTGACTGCACGTGCAACCAAGCTTGGAGAAGTGAAGCCTAAGGGAGATCTACAAACAGTGGTGATAATGGTGAAAGGGAATTGGGAGGAGATTCAAGATATAGGCTAAACTTAGGCCAGCTAGGTTGTAGAAGAAAACTAGGAAATGAGACAGCTGGGAGGAGCCCTGCCAAAGTCGGAACAAATCAGATCAGTGCTTGGTAGCACTGATTTCAGACACAACTCCCACAAAAGAGCCAGAATTTGATTGGATTAATTTGTAGGGCAGTTTATGTCCTAGGATACTGTTGAAAATCGGGCAATGAGCCAGCAACCAGTGGTGTTTAATAGCCATGTGTGGTCAGTGAAGGAGGAAGACAGCCCTCCCAAAGCAAGTGTCATCCCAGGGTGACTGTGGGCACGTCCCAAACTCCACCTCCCTGAGTAGCAACATCAGAGGCACAACACTGTTGGGGAGTGGTGGTAGTGAGGGTAGAATAAACTTCACTAAAATAAGCCAGCAACTTATGAGACAAATAAATATATAGTTAGATACTAACTCCCCACCCCAATATTTTTAATAAAACTAAATATTTTACAAACCGATTTGAGTTGGCTATTTTCATCTTTCAACTTCACAACATGCTTGATTTTCTGCTTTAAATTCTGATGACCCAATAATTTAGCATATGAATCTCTTATTTTATTTAGCTGTTCCTGAGCTGCACCGTGTTCATTCAACAATGCCTGTTTCTCTGCTTCAAATGCATCCAGTTGTTGCTGAAAAAGGTTTTTTTAATAAAGTTAATACTTAAAAACTTAAATTTGTTTTCAAAAACTTTTCCTTTGCAAAAACTTAAATCTTACTCGTTTCATATAAACTATAAAATGAACTAAATAAAATTTTAAAAAAACCCAACAAAAATAGAGTATGCTTACATATTCTCAGGGCTTTGCATAGATTGTCTATGAAAATCTTTTAAACTTTGCATTTTTCATTTTAAAGATCATTAAAACTGAGGTAAAGAAACAAGAAAGCCAGCTAGCCAGCCTTACCTGTATCAGATGGATCACCACAATATAAGCAACACTGTACTTCTAGTTAAGTGCAAAAATTAGCATTTATCCTTTTTTCTTTTAAAAGATCAGCATATTAATTTGAGAAACACTGAGGAGAACCGTCTGCGCCATTAACTTTAAGTTCCTTTTTAGAAAGTATTTTCTAACCTATGAAGGCTACATTAAAAAATTATGTCAATATGTCAATTATACCTCAATAAAGCTGGAAAAAGATTTATGCCTAATACAATTTATAAGCGTTCTTTAATAGGAAGCTCAATTGGAATTGTAAGTACACAGCAAAGTGATCTTGCAGAAAGTCACGATCATGACTGTAACAGGGAACAAAATGAATTCCTAACAAATACAAGTAAGTTTGCTCCTGACAAACCTGAAAAGGTTCTGTTTTACTATACAGTTCTTCATAAAGGAGACGCCACTTATTAACTTCTTCAGTTAATTCCGCTATTGTATTTTCTTGTCCAGATTTTCTGCATGGAAAAATTAAACAGTTTGTTTATTTTTTTGAGACAGAGTTTCGCTCTGTTGCCCAGGCTAGAGTGCTGTGGCGTCAGCTTCGCTCACAGCAACCTCAGATTCCTGGGCTCCAGTGATCCTCCTACCTCAGCCTCCAGAAAATAGTTTATTTTAAAAATAACATGATAGCTGACTTACATGGTACTCAGGTTTTAATCCTAGATTACCTTGCTTCTTCATCTTCCAGCTGTTTCCTGAAGTCGTCCTCTTGTTGCTTAAGTTGGTTCTGCAAATCAGTTATTTGTTTAAAAGAAGAAACTGTGATTTCTTTAATTTCTGCTTCTTTAAGTGCCGACTTGGTCTGCAGATCTAGAAGCATCCTTGAGTTTGAGAGAGAAGAGTTCACTAAATTTCACAGCCATTTCAATTACTTTTTTCTTTTTAAACTCAAGGATCTCTTCAAGAATTACACTTTTTTTAAATGAGTAAATTCTTAATTTGCAAATTAATATCACCAAAATTCAAGCCATGGGTCAATTCCCTGTCCCAATTCACTAACTGGCTTTCCAACAACAATAAATTGTCTTAATGTTTCTAAGGCCATTATTTATTTATTTGTTCTACATACCTTGCATATTCTTGATTTGCGCTCTCAGTTGCCAATATCTGATGTTGAACATCCTCTGCACTTTTCTCAGCCTTGGCTACTTTTTCAAGTAGTGATGAGTTCTCTAGCTTAAGATCTTCTATCTCACTAGCTGTTAATGCTTTATAGCTGATTAAAAAGAAAAAATCAAAACATTTTTCTAAGTACTGTATAAGTGACAAACATCCAGCTGATCAGTTTATACTTTGTATACTTTGTAAGTAAAACAAAACCTTATATTCATATATTTACACAGGTAAGAATTCAGTGTTCTGAGGTAAGTACTAATGAGTTTACATGCATTTGCTGTTTGTTCAAAGGAAAAAAATATCAAATGCTTACTATGTGTAGGAAGTATGCATAATGAGGTTAAAAAAATTAGCTACCAAACATGAAAATTACTCCAAATCAAAAACTATATACAATCCCTGCACATACTGTCACAGAGTTTTATGGTCTTGTGGGGAAGATGAGGAAATGCTTCTCTTGCTTCTCTTGCAAAAAAAAAAAGGAATAAAAATATATAATTAAATTTGCAATAAATGTTATGAAGGAAAAGTACAAAGAACTTTAAGCTAATGGAAGAGGGGAACCTTCATGTAAAGACCTTTCTGAAGAATTTATAGTTAAGCTGAGACATGATGGGAAAGGAGTTAGCTAGACAGGGGAAGGTATTTCAGAGGATAAAGATGCATATGCACTTAGAGGCAGGTAGAACATAGTCTATTAGGAGGTGAGACTGGAGCTTGATGAATAAGAGGCAGGAACAGAAGCTAGAAGCATAAGGCAGGCCATCACCACAGGGCACAGTGGGTTTACCTGAGGGATAAAGGGGAGTCATTGACAATCTCCCAATAAGTGTGTATATTACTCTAGAGATCTGAGGAGGATCAACTGGAGAAGGGGCAGGAATGGAAAACTGGAAGATCAACTGGATGACAATTATTTCTATATAAATGTAGTCAGATTACCAGGTGACACTGAATGCCCATTTATGTTCGGTGATTATGGAATTTAGTCATACCAATCACCATCTTTGTGTGATTGCTTTGTTCACAGATTTTTCTTAAAAACCCCTCCCTGCTCACATTATATTTAGGAGTGTAGGCTTCTGTCAGAAATACCTTTCAAACTGAGCAGTAACATCCCCGAGGTTTTGCACTGTGCTATTATACTTTTCCTGCAAAAGCAGGGTAGCTTGAATGTTAGCAGCATTATTTTTCTCCAGTTCAGCTTCTTTCCTAAGAAAAAGGAACAATTACAAGATCAAACGTTAACTACAAATAATTATCCTAAGAAAGAAAATAGTATTTACCTTTGAAACTGTGAATCACGTATCTCCTATCTTCATCTTTGCACTAGCTACTGGACAGCATAGATTCAAGTTTATGACCCACCTCTAATAGCATGTTTTAAAAATGCGCTAACTTTTCTACTGGCTTCATCTTATCTTTCCTGCTTTTACTTTACTGTAAAAATTTTGGGGTAAGAAGGTAGGGTAAAAAGACTCTAAAACAGAATCTTCTGGAAGCAGCCAAGGCTAAAGAATACAAAGGATTACCAGTTAAAAATCACTTGGATTGAATAAAATTTAATTTTCTACATCAAACACTTAAGAAATACTAAGTACAGTTAAAGACACTTCATTTTAAAAGTTCTTTGGAAGAGTTATAGGGCTTTGTGGTTTTATTCTGATTATATGAATAGCCCACATAATACATTGTATTCAAAGATTCAATAACTTCTTTAATGAATTATTTTGCATAGACAGAATAGGTTTTAAGTCTTCTTAATAAATATATACTACAAATCTCAGAGTTAAAAAAATAAATTGTAATAAAATTTTAGATAAGCATATGAGCTTATGAGAGAGATTTTAAAGAACATATAGAACTAAAAATTGTAAATGAGCATTGTGCACATACAGAATAAGTTAAGACACTGAGACAAGATGAATAGCTGATCAAATTCATTCTGTAATGAGTGTGGGGATTTAAAAACTATACACACCACAGCAAAAGCAATCAAATATTACCAAAGGCTTTGTAATAAAAATATTTTCTTTGCTGTCCCCTAGAAGAATCACATTCAATTCTCTTAGTTTTTCTTTGAAGCCTGAAATTTCCAGGCTACAAGAAACCTTAGAGATCATCTTATAAAACTCCTTTGTTTTATATCTAATTGGGTGGAAAAATGAAAGAAACAAACTAAGATTGTCTTGCTCAGAATCACACAGTTAACAGATCTCATAATAAAATCTTTATCTCTTGACCACTAGACCAGAGTTCTTTGAGTTAGAATAAATCATTGTCTCAACTTTCTTTCCTCTCTGAAAATAATATCTTCTACTCAGTTTCTTAAGGCTGCTGTTCCCTGAGCCTGGCTGCAGTATAGAATAATCCCCCTAATTGCACTTTTGTACTGTCCCCCCAAAAGCAGAGACATACAAAAGTTGGTGTTCATTTTCGTCATTAATCAACACTAGAAAACAAAAAAGAGTCTAACAAAGTACCCAACAAGAGATAGATACGCATGTGTGAGATATAGTACTATAATCTCATGTCTAGTCCATGGGTCTTTGTTAGAAAATGTTTTAATGATGAGATACTAAGGATTTAAATAACATAATTCATTATTTTACTTGCAAATTGAACTCAAGAATCAAACTGGATATTTTAATTTAAATAAATGCAGTGAAGAAGGAAGCATAATGTGATGGAAACAAGGACTACAGTTAGAAACAGATTTCAGGCTTTCTACTTTGATCAATTTCTTATTTTTTGAATGTTTCTCAGTTCTATTTCTTTTTAATCATTCCATATTTTGTTTCAAAATAATGTTTCTCAGTTTTGTTTTTTTTCCTCCCATTTTGCTATTTATTAATATCTGAGACAGGGTCTTTCTATGCTGTCCAGGTTGGAGTGCAGTGGCTACTGACAGGCACCATCATTGTGCACTACAGCCTTGAACTCCTGGGCTCAAGTGATCCTCCAGCCTCAGTCTCCTCACTAGCTGGGACTCCAAGCACTTAGCCTGACCCATTTTGCTTTTTTATTATTACTTTTGAAGTGTGTGTTTGTGCTTTTTCAAAAATGTAACTAAAGGTGTAACTTACACTGTGTAAACTGATGTACACATAGACAAAAAATGAAAATGATTTTCATTAAAGGGCAGAATTCTTTAAGTTCATTATTGTTGTAATGCTGATGTCCAATAATTCTTAGAAAATATAAGTAGTAAAGGAGCACAAAACTTTGGTAATTTGTTTACTAAAACTCTTACAGGAAAAAAGGGCAATGCTTTTACTCTGGCTGTCTTACTTGTTTGCATATACATTCTGTGCATGTGTTTTACCTCTCTATTACTTACTTGTGAAATAATTTCAACCTCACACATGCACATGAATGATGTGAGAATCCTAAGAAAATATACTTGAAAATACTTTTTAACATTTGAAGTCACACATAAACATGAGGTCCTGTTATTACAAACCCTTTCAGCTTTTCTTCTAGGAGTTTGAGTTCTTCAGCTTTAAGTTTTGTTTCTTCTTCCAATTGCTTGACCAGCCTTTCAGCTTGTTCCTCCTTTTGCTGTAATTTATCGAGCTCATCCAGTGCTTGCTTTAATTCTTCCTCAAAGAGGTTCCTCTCTTTAATCATTTCCTCTTGAAAAGAACATAGCTTCTGCTGAAGACTAGAAGATAATTCCTATATACAAACAGAAAACCATCAAAATAATTTAAAATAACATTGTGATATGTTACTAAGAGACAAATAAGAAGCACAAATAATTAAGTATGAAACCTAAATTCAAGAGTTTCAAGGAAACTTAAAATAATAAAAACTCGTTTTTTTTCATGCATTATATTCTACACCTTAACATTGTGGCAAATATCATTTCAGGCTTTTTTTCTGTGCAAAACACACACAGACTTCTTATAAAACTAAAATTATATTTACAGAATGACCCAGCAA